ACAATTTACGCTGAACTTTTCAACAGGAATTTATCAAGTCAAATATGGATAACATAAGATCAGTATTCAAAGTATGAAATGCGTTTAACCTCAAGTACCCTTAGTTTACTGGTGCTATAAAACAATTAATCTTTATTTTTTTTTTTATTCATGTATTTTTTTCATTTGTTTGTCTTCTAGTTTTCTTTTTTATTTATTATTGTTTTTTTAAACGTCAGTCGTAGCGTTAGATGTCTGACTTTTCTGGTGATAATGGAACCTCCAGTAAACAGTTCATTACCGTATTACTTCCTCATTATCCTTAGAAATAAGAAATACCAGGTAGAATCCACGCTCTCGTAGATACTCGAAAGACGTACGACACACATGTGGACGTTGCGTCATACATTTGAATTTGAATTTTTTGGGGTAAAAAAAAAAAACGTTAACTCAGTTACCCTACCTATATCTACTAATACAGTGAACCCTCGTTTTTCGCAGGGGTTACGTTCCAAAAAGTAGTAACCTTCATTTTTTTACAATTATTATACAATGAAATACTCTACAATACTTTGAAACCAAAGAACAAAACCTTTTTACAGGTCCAAGCATTTGTTTAACAAATAAAAGTACGGTATAAACGTTTTTTACAAATAACTACTGTACGGTAAAAAAAATAATTTTAATCATTACGAACGGAAGGCTTCATGGGTTTTAGAGAAAATTTGCAAACTTAAATTTGGCAAGCTGTTTTACGTACATGTACATATTAAACCGTTACGTTATTGACACACAGGTAGAGAAGAAGCGGAGACTGTTTAGCCAATCAGAATGTAGAACACAATGCACAATGCAAATCCATGAAGCAGCGAGAACGTGAAAGGTGAACCGCGTTATAGCGAGGGTTCACTGTACTAGGATATACAAATTAATATCTGTGGTAGCTATGGTATTAATGGTAATAATTATAACAATAATGATTTTTTTACTTTTTTATTTTAGCTGTCGATGTTGTGGAGAGATACAAAGAACGGACATTCCCAGTCGTGGTTCTTTCTTTAAAGATGTCATGGATTTTGGTTGAGCAGTTTAAAGTACAGAAAAGGAGTCCGTTTTTAAGAACTACAATATGGTACTCTAGGACTGTGGAAACAACATGGAAAGTAGTGAGGCAGCCCTATCAAGATAAAGATGTTGGTGGTTATAAGGACATCAACACTGATATCGTATTATCAACATTCTTCCTAGGGTGACTGCCCAGTAGTGATCAAAATAAAGTTTTAGATCAGCAACCATGAAATCATAGATCATTTCAGTCCACCATTGTTTTAGTACTAAACATTACTGTACTTTACTGGCCAAGACCCCAATATATGTAATCCTTTATCGTGCACTTGTAAACAAGTACCCGTAGGTTAAAAGAAAAATTATAAAGATAAATCATGAGATAGTACAGTTGAAGAGCACTGAAAACTGCCCTACTTAAGAAGAATTTTAGGCACTTTCTTGTAGCAAAAAAAAAATGGTGGCAGTTCCGTACCAGTTTTTGTTATATCCAAAATATCCTGTCATTAGCAACAAGAATGAACACCTTAGTGTGAAGAATACTGTTATCTTCATGAACCGTGGTCAGACGCCGAATTACTGTTCTTTTTCCAAGAAACATGCCAAGCATGCACATGCAACGAGACAGAAGTAGACAAGTTATCTGTACTGATATCTATCATCTTTGTTATCGTAGGTTGTGAGAGCTGTTACAACAACAAATCTTGCACAATGGGAGATAGTCCAGGAAATTCATTATCCTTCATTAAAGACAGTTTCATGAGCAAGATTCGTTGTACAGCTTTTAGAGACCAAGGATGGTCATTTGCACATGCTGTTCTACATTAATGTTCAGTTAAAGTATCGTGGCCACTGTATTTAACATAATTACTGGAGCTCAGGAATATATTAGAGATTCTGTACTTCCCTTTGGTTTCTATCAGTGCTGAGTTTACAATACAGTAGAAACCGCAAATGGTCTCACACTTTTGGTGGCTCCATAGGCCTGTGTTAGAAATATAAGACATTCTATTCTTATGATATCTGGTGGAGTTCTGTGTTCATGTTAATGTTAAATAATCATATATTCAAGAGGTAAAGTGTCTGTTCCACTAAGGGGCCTCACGGTTAACATGTGCTACGGGCATCGGCCTACCTAATTCTAATCCTGATCTAAATATCCAACTACACCTTTCGAAAATCCTGCCTTACAATATCGAAAAAAATGTAAGGGCTCAAAGGAACATATTTTGCAGTGAATGACCTGCCCCCACGCCTGAACAAAATTCAGGAGAGCAAATGCTTGCCACACAATCCACCATAAAAAATAGCTTTGAGAGAGAGAGAGGAGGGGGTGAAGAGAGAACGCTGCTTTGGTAGAGAGAGATAGGGGGGAGGGAGAGAGAGGGGATGAAGGGAGAAAAAGAGGGGGAGGAGGAAGAGAGGGAAGGAAAGAGATAGAGGAGGGAGGGAGGGGGGGAGAAAAAGCAATGCTTTGGTAGAGAGAGAGAGATGGGGAGGGAGAGAGACAGAGAGGGGAAGGGGGGGAAGAGAGAAAGAGAGAGAGGGAGAAAGAAAGTCTCTGGACGTCTTGAGCGGTCATTGTAGATACTTGGTGAACTGTGTGGAATGAGATGTTCGATAATTCTTCCCGAACTCACCCTACCTGGCAGTTTCATTCCCTTTCTCTCCTCTCTCTCTCTCCCTTTCTCTCCCTTTCTTCTCCCTCTCTCTCTCTCTCTCTCCTCTCTCTCTCTCTCTCTCTTCTCTCTCTCTCTCTCTCTCTCTCTCTTCTCTCTCTCTCTCTCTCTCTCTCTCTCCTCTCTCTCTCTCTCTCTCTCTCTCTCTCTCTCTCTCTCTTCTCTCTCTCTATCTATCTATCTATCTCTCTCTCTCTTCTCTCCCTCCCTATCTCTCCTCTCCCTCCCCCTCCCTCCCTCCCTCTCCTCTCTCTCTCTCTCTCTCTCTCTCCTCTCTCTCTCTCTCTCTCTCTCTCTCTCTCTCTCTCTCTCTCTCTCTCTCTCTCTCTCTCTCTCTCTCTCTCTCTCTCTCCCTCTCCTCTCTCTCTCTCTCTCTCTCTCTCTCTCTCTCTCTCTCTCTCTCTCTCTCTCTCTCTCTCTCTCTCTCTCTCTCTCTCTCTCTCTCTCTCTCTCTCTCTCTCTCTCTCTCTCTCTCTCTCTCTCTCTCTCTCTCTCTCTCTCTCTCTCTCTCTCTCTCTCTCTCTCTCTCTCTCTCTTCTCTCTTCTCTCCCTCTCCTCTCTCTCTCTCTCTCCCTCTCTCTCTCTCTCTCTCTCTCTCTCTCTCTCTCTCTCTCTCTCTCTCTCTCTCTCTTCTCTCTCTCTCTCCTCTCTCTCTCTCTCTCTCTCTCTCTCTCTCTCTCTCTCTCTCTCTCTCTCTCTCTCTCTCTCTCTCTCTCTCTCTCTCTCTCTCTCTCTCTCTCTCTCTCTCTCTCTCTCTCTGCCTCCCTCTCTCTATTTGGGGGAGGGGGGACCTATTCTACCCAACCCTCACTTCAAAATGGGGAAGGCTAGATCAGTAGCAACTCGAGGTGTCAAAACGTCTAATTCTTTTTTTTTTTTTTTTTTTCTTTTTTTGAAAAAAAACACATGGGGTTTATTTTTAAGACGCCACAAAAGTTACAGATGCATTGTGAATATTGGTCGATCATTTGGTCTTTTCAATTTTCAAAAAGGAATAAAAATAATGGTTTTGGTGGTTACATTTTCACTGAACAATCATCAAAACAGACGCCATGACACCTGCTACTAATATAACCTTCCCATTCAAAATGCCTACCAACGACTACATCAGAGACGTAACAAGTAAAGCACAAAAAAAAAAAAAAAAAAAAAAAATACTGCGGTACCAGTTCCTTAATTCTGAAATATTTCTTTTCACACGACTTCAGCAATAAATGTATTCTTGTCTCCCTATCCCGCATATCAAACAAATGATCAACTATGACGTGCAAAAAGAAACGAATTCCTGATTTCTGATCTTTGCAGAGTTTACAGGATTTATGGCCGTTATTTTAGCAATACGGAATTCTCCTAAGCAATAAACTCAAGATTTTTACTTTTTTTATTTTTTTATTCTATTTTTCATCTTTTATTTTTTTTTTTTTTTTTTTTTTTTTACATCCATGGGATTTTTGATATGCGTGAAAGGAAAGGGACGCCAAAAAATAACTACTCGATGTACGTACGTACGAAATAAAAGAATAACGTAATCCCCTATTTGCATTTGCCTTCCGGCCTGGGGGCATACTATTTATGTAGTTCTAGGAATTCTCTTACTTCTGTCGGATATGAAGTAATGAAGCAGTGAAATGATAAAGCAACTCCAACAATAAAATAATGATAGTGACAGTAAGAATAATGGCAATAAAGATAATGACAATGATAAAGAATGAAGCTATTAATGATATGGCTTAGTTTAAAGATAAAAGTAATGATAATGGTATGGAATTAAGATAGTGATAAGGGTCATAATAATGACCTCTGTCATAAAGTAAAAAATGAAGAATGGTGATAGTGAAGTTTTGCTTTACATGGAAACTCCTCTTCACGTATTTACTCCATCCATAAAATACGTAATAGAATCATGTGAATCTGTGAACATATTAGATCCACACAAACGGGTTTTCGCCTTTTATGAAAGCTACAATATTATTAGATCGCCTTTAGCTATCTTCATAATTTATGATACATCATCAAATTTGAATCTATTTTTTTATAGCACTTTATTAGATGTCGACATTATGATTGTTTTGGTACAACAGCTGATTGTTTTGCTTGTTCGTATATAGGTGATTAATGATTGATTATGGCCCAAACAATACTTTGCCTCTATACCAAGCAAATTAGTATAATAACACTTAAAATATTTAAAACATTCAATATAGAATGGAACTTTCCTGGCTCCCAAAACAAATTTGAATATATGAAAAAATAGAAAAGAAGACAGGCTTCGATCATCCGAACAAAGTCAACAAACGCAGTTGAGACGAAGTTCCTGAAACGCACGTAGTGGAAGGTGGAAAATAATAACACACAAATCTCACTTATTACCTCTCCTCTCACGTTTGTAGGACGCTTCATACATCTACTACCAAATCAAGTAGATAGGTTTGGTCTTTATTATTGCTTTTATTATACGAAATTCCTCCAGACGCCCATGCAACTTATAGATACAATGGCGCAAAGAGAGAAGGTTCACAGCTTGCGATTCAACCAAGACCACGGTGAGTTTCGTTGTTTAATGGTTATGAATGAAGTGAAAAGCAGATTTGGGTAATTTTCTATATTAGCTTCGCCTCTCCGATATCGACGATTTTGGTATCGTTGGATTCCTCACTGTCCACATTGCAAATCTATAGTTTGTATTGCGCGGAAACCCCCCATTAGCGACAAACTTGACCCCGATAGCAGGGGAGAGCATGAAAGGTTCCAGGGAAAATGTGGGGTTAAATAACACTAATAATATAACCCACAGTGAAAATAACCATGGTTATTCACATGACTCCATTGCAGGCGGCTATGCCCCCTGTGACCCCCCCTGGGGGGCTGACGCCCCCAACCCCCGCCGAGGAAACAAAACCTCCACCACGTATTCCAATTTTCAATATAAATACGTATTCACGTATTTATGGCTTAGAGCATTACACAATTATTGGCGATCTCGGAGCGGCGGACGTATTACATTTACCTCATAACATTCCCACTGAATCAGCATACTAACCTTGGCATAGTCAACATTGTATACAGATACGATTGTAGTATAATCAGAATGAACAAGGTATACCATGAACAGAAGAGCGGCGGTGGCCCGCCCTCGTCGGGTCAGCGGGTGTTGCGCCTTTTTCGATGCATCTTGTTCGTGTGCACTCTATCCTGCCGTGAAGACGTGGGGAATATTTTGTGTCTTCATCGGGGGTTGGGGGGCGGCAGCCCCCCTTCAGTGGGGGTCGCAGGGGGCACAGCCCCCTGCAATAGAAAGTCATGTGAATAACCATGGTTATTTTCACTGTGGGTTATATTATTAGAGTAATTTTCTATATTACGTCCGCTGCTCCAACATCGTTGCCCCTGCTATTGGGGCCAAGTTTGCCGCTAACGGGGGGTTTCCACACAATAAAACCTACATACTTGGATTGTACAGAGTGAGAGGAATCCAACAATACCAAAATCATCGATATCGGAGAGGCCCTTTTAGTGAAACCTGGAGGCTATCCTGTGCCTTAGAGTCTCATCTTAATGCCCTTTGTAAGAGGTCCTTGTGCCTAATCACAGGGCACAGTTGGCAGGACCACATGTCCAACCAGTAGTTACACCTTGAGACTGGTACAGAACCTGTTACACACACCACACACACACACCCACACACACACACACACACACACACACACACAACACACACACACACACACACACACACACACACACACACACACACACACATTTATATATGTTTATATATGTTTATACATATTTACTATATATATATTTATATATATATATATATATATATATATATATATATATATATATATATATATTATATATATATATATATATATATATATATATATTATATATATATATATATATATATATATATATATATATATATATATATATATATATATATATATATATATATATATATATATATATATATATATATATATATATATGTATTTGTATGAAAATTCACATACATATACAGGAACATATCATTTAGCCTATTACATTTTGTATTATATTAGATATTTGAATTGCAGGGTGCTTCATATGCTGTATGGACAATGGTGTTCGAATATACAATGTGGAGCCACTTGCAGAAGAATTACATTTGAGTAAGTCTTGTTTTTCCACTGATGCTTGTTTTCTTTTGGTCATGTGATGGCCTAATGTTCATAGGATGCATATATTATGAACTTAATTTTTAAACTTGACTTTGTATATGTGGATGATTTATATTATCTTCATTAGCCCTTTTCTTTCTGTATTATAATTTTTCATTCTTATAAACATTGCAGAAGAAAGCTTGGCTGGAAGTGTTGCACATGGAGAAATGTTGCATAGAACAAATTTACTGGCAATAGTAGGAGGAGGAGCTGTTCCTAAGTATGCTGACAATACAGTGCTAATCTATGATGACAGAACATCAAGATTCGTCCTTGAGTTTACCTTCTCTGCTCCAGTTTTGTCTGTTAGACTGCGTAAAGATAGGTAAGACCTGCCATCTTTACTCTGTGTTTAGTTCCTACCTCCACTTTTTAGATTTTGAATATATCAAACAGATTACAAGTATGAATGAAAATGCTAAAAATGCTGAAATAGAAATGGTTTATAGAAATGGCAATTTGCATTTCAGGCTAGTTGTTGTGTGCTGCCGACAGATTCATGTCTTTTCATTCCCGCATTCCCCACGGAGACTTTTCACCTGCGAGACTCGTGACAATCCCCTAGGTCTTTGTGAAGTGTCTCCTCTACCTTCTGCTGACAGACACATCCTCTGCTTCCCAGCCCATAAAGTTGGAGCTGTCCAATTAGTGGTGAGTTTGTTTGAAGCAATTTTATATCAGCTTGATGACTAGCCATAAAGAAGAATATGTACACACACACACATATATATATATATATATATATATATATATATATATATATATATATATATATATATATAGTATATATATATAATATATTATATATATATATATAATATATATATATATTATATATATAATATTTTATTATAATTTAATGTATTATCATATGTAATATATATATATATATATATATAAACATATAATATGTATGTACTATATGTTATATTTGTTGTATATATATCATATATATATATATATATATATATATTATTATATATATTATATATATATAATATATATTCATATTATATATATTATATATAATATTATATATATATATTTATTATATAATTTTATATATATATATTTATTTATATATATATCAATTATCAACATCATTACACATATATCTATCATTTATTATCACTAATTTTACACATTTATATTCATATTCTATTTTATATTTCTATATTATATCATATTATTTTAATCTATTTTTTTTTTTATTTTTTTTTTTATTTTTTTTTTATTTTTTTTTATTTTTTTTTTTTTTTTCTATTTTGTTTTTTTTTTATATTTTATTTTATTTTTTTTTATTT